TCCCCCCTCCCTTCCCACCATTGCTCACGTTGTGTTTCAGTGCCTCCGGGGCCGTCCACTTCACGGGCAGCAAAGTGGCATCTGCACCCTTGGGATTGACCCGGGCCAGGCCAAAATCACTCACTTTGGCCTCGTTCTCCTCAGAGATGAGGATGTTCCGGGCAGCCAGGTCCCTGTGCACCAGCTTCTTGGACTCCAGGTAGTCCATGCCCTGGGCCACATCCCTGCCATGGCCAAGCGAGGCAGACCACAGTGTCAGGGGGATGCAGGGCACTGGTTCTCAGCTGGAGGAAGGGAGATGGACTTACAAAGCAAACTGGAGGAGCTGCCGGGTCGAGATGAGCGCCCGGCCCCGCGTGCGCAAGAAGTTCACCAGGTTGCCCTGATAAGGGAGGAGAAACACGTAAGGACCAAAGGGATGGGGTTGCCTGGAGATGCTGCCTCCTGTGGGGGCTGCAGCACCCAGCATCTGTCCAACTCAGTCCCCAAACTGGGATTTTGTCTCCAAATCTGAGCAGTGATGGGTCCTGCTGGCCAAGGACCAGCTGGGTGCTCTCACCTTGCTCATGAACTCCATGACGATGTAGAGGCCGTTGTGCAGGATCACACCAAGCAAACACACCAGGTTTTTGTGCCGGACCTTCCTGAAATAGAAGGGATGCAGGTCAAGGGGGGCTTGTTTGTCCCCAGGCCAGGGGGCAGGGCTGGGCTGTTGGCCCCTCAGGGCACTCACGTCATGGCAGCCGTTTCTCTGAGGAAGGCCTGGGCGGTCACGTCACACTTGATGTTCTTCACAGCCACCTTCTGCCCCATATACTCACCCTGCAGGACGTCTGGGAGGGGACATGGGGAATCAAGCTCAGCCCTGCTTCCCAGGCCGAGCCCTTCATGCCTCGGATGAGGAGGGGACATTGGGGGTGCCCTTTGGGCAACCTCCAGCCCCATCTCACTCACCTCCGAACTCGCCTTGCCCGATGCGGTCTCCCAGCGTGAGGTTCTGCAGGTTCAGCAACCAGCCAGCTGGACACCAGCACGAGGGCAAGTTAGGAGGGGCTACCAGTTGGACCATGCTGCCATGTCCCCAAAACCTGGACCATGACCCTCTCCCACCATCTCCTACCTTTAGCCAACTCCTCCTCTGCCGACTTCATCCCACTTTTTGGTTTGGGCTTCACCAGCTTGGTGCAGATGGCTCCCTGCTCCTTCATGTAGTGCTGCCAAGGGACAGACAGACAGGCAATGTGGCAGTGCCTCCTCTTACCCCCAGACTCAGGGTGTGGAACTGGGAAATGACTATGGGATGTTCTGTGGGACTCCACCACCACCCTCGAGGGGCCTGGAGCCCCTGCAGCTCAGGCAAATGCCACGTTTCCCCCAGGGCTGTGATTTGCAGCCCACATCTCAGCCCTGCTCCCCTCTGGGCACAGCCAGGGAAAGACCATGATGGACCATGGGCCACATGGGATGCTGCTGGTGGGGCTGGTGGCAGCTGATGGGGTTCCAGCCCCTGTCGGGGTGGTTTGCAGAGGTGACGCAGAGCGGAAGCGGCGGTGGCGTCAGAGTTACAGGCTGAGGCCGGGGCAGCTGAAAGGGGAAAGGACCCACTTGAAAGCAGAAGTTGGGTCTAAATGAGGAAAACATCTGAGGGTGCAACTGTCTGGAGAGGAGATGGGAGGCAGCTAAGAGACAGGGCAAAGATGAACCTCGAGGAAGAAGAGGTCACTGGAAGGGCAAGAGCTCATGGAGCTGCCCAGGAGTCCTGCAGGGTCAGCAATGAGAGGGACTCTTGGAGGGGAGAGAAACGTGGCAAAATGCCTCAAAGCCTTGGTGGAGCTCAGACCTTGTCCAGGAGGGGGCAGAGGCTGCTGGGATCTTCAAAACACCCTAAGCCCTGCTGTGGTGTGAGCACCAAAGGAGCACGGATGGGGGGAAACGTGGCCTTGGGCAGGGGAGTGGGGCTGCAGCTGGCATGGCTGGTTCATGGAATCATCGAATGGTTTGGGTTGGAAGGGACCTTAAAGATCATCTACCTCCTGCATGGGGAGGGACACCTCCTGCTAGATCAGGTTGCCCAAGGTCCCATGGCAGAGGTGTCCCCAGGGCACCCCAGATCTGTCCATTCCAGTTCTGGGCCCCTCAGTTCAAGAAGGACAGGGAACTCCTGGAAAGAGTCCAGGGCAGAGTCACAAAGATGATGAAGGGAGTGGAACATCTCCCTGCTGAGGAAAGGCTGAGGGAGCTGGGTCTGTTGGGCTTGGAGAAGAGGAGACTGAGGGGCGACCTTGTCAATGTTTACAGATATGTTCAGGGCAGTGTCAGGAGGACGGAGCCAGGCTTTGTGCAGTGATGTCCAGTGACAGGACAAGGGGTAGTGTGTGCTAACTGAAACATAGGAGGTTCCATGTAAACATCAGAAAAAAACTTCTTTACCATGAGAGTGACAGAGCCTGGGACAGGCTGCCCAGAGAGGCTGTGGAGTCTCCTTCTCTGGAGACTTTCAAACCCCCCTCGACACATTCCTGTGTGATGTGCTCTGGGTGCCCCTGCTCTGGCAGGGGGATTGGGCTGGGTGAGCATTCCAGGTCCCTTCCAACCCCTAAGATTCTGTGATTCTGTGGTTGCACCCCAAACTGAGTGGGAATCATCAGTCTTTGGCAGGGATGGAGAACTACACCAGGGAAAGAAACCCAATGAAAACCCATGGAGAAAGGGACAGGGACCTGCCACTGCTCCCCATGACCCCATGAGGTTCTTGCCCTCAGTCGGGTGCTGGTGAGGTTCACTGCCCAGGGAGGGGGGGGGGTCTCACCTCTCTCATGTCGATGAGGTTGGAGAAGTGCTGCTGGCTGTCGATGCTGAGCGTGTGCTCCTGGTGCACCACGCGGTAGTGGATCACCTCCCTGCCAAAGCTCACGCACAGCACGTAGTCCCCAGGGTGCCGGACAGACTCCCGCACCAGGAACAGCCCGTCCTCGGGGGGCTGCAGCTCCTGCACTGCCTCCACCCCGGAGATCTTCCCGTGGAACCAGCTGGGGAGAAGGACATTGGGGAGAGAGAGGGGCATGGGGGTGAGGGACACTGGGGAGAAGGGCTGTGCCCATGGGCTTCCTTCGGTGCCAGCAGCAAGATGAGGAGAGCAGAGCCCCCAGCAAAGCTACATAGACCCTGTTGCTTAAACCCCCTCCTTTTGGGGTCCGTTTAAGCTGGGTGGGCACAACTGGGGGCCTTTCAAGTCAGGCATTTGCCCCAGCAAATCCCTGACTGTCCCCAGCTGCCCACCCAAAACCTGCCTGGGGAATGAGCTGGACTCGTCTGCTGTCACAGCTCCTGGGGGCTCACTTGGGATGAAGTGTGAAGGGGCTGGAGCACAAGTGTGAGCAGGAGCAGCTGAGGGAGCTGGGGGTTCAGCCTGGAGACAAGGAGCTGAGGGGAGACCTACTGGCTCTGCAGCTGCTGAGACGAGGTTGGAGCCAGGGGAGTCGGGCTCTGCTCCCCAGGAACAAGGGATGGGACAAGAGAAAATGGCCTCAGGTTGTGCCAGGGGAGGTTGAGATTGGGTATTGGGAACAATTTCTCCCTGGAAAGGGTTGTCAGACCCTGGCCCAGGCTGCCCAGGGGTGGAGTCCCCATCCCTGGAGGGGTTTCAAAGCCTGTAGATGTGGTGCTGAGGGACATGGGGCAGGGGTGGCCTTGGCAGGGCTGGATGACCAGTTGACTCAATAATCTGAAAGGTCTTTTCCAACCAAAATTATTCCATGATCATTTCCCCCCCACACCCTCCCTGGGACCCCAGCTGTACTCACGGCATGAGGCTGAGCTTGGGGTCAGCAGGGATGGCCCCGCGCTCCCGCAGCACGTTGCCCACCAGCAGCCCCTCCTGCCCTGTCTCGTTGTGCCTGGCGCGGTACCAGCCCTTGCCCTGGGGACCAGGGGGTCTCATAGCAAGGGGAGGAAGGGGGGACCCCACTGGGGAGAAGGGGCCTTTCTCCAGCAGCTCAGCTGGTGGCACTAGGGTCCCCTCCCCTCCCGGGGCAGCAGGTCCCCCGAGCGCCCGCTGGACTCACCTCCACAGCCTGGATGATGGTGACCACGTCGCCCTTGCGGAAGGCCAGCTCCTGGGCCTTGGGCTTGGTGTGGTCGTGCTTGGTGACACACTGGGTCCCAGGGGGCCAGTGTTTCTGCAAGGGAGGAGGCAGCATCACAGGGACCACAGGAGCTGGTTCCCCTCCACCTCCCACAGCCATCAGGGCCAGCTGAAACCCTGGCTGGTGACAAGGGGCACTGGGCACCAGTCCCTCTAAACCCCACAGTGGCCCTAGGGGGACATGTCACCCTGATGTCATCATCCCCGTGGCAGCCCCACTCACCCTGGACATGGTTGTCAGCACATCAAGGACTCCCTGTTGTCTCCTGCTGCCACCTGCAGAGAAGAAACCAAAGGGGGCTGAGGAAGGATGGGGCTGAGCTGCTGAAGTCCTCACAGGCTCCTTTGGCCAACGCAGTTCGTTGCAAGCCCACCCATCATCCACAACACCCTCACACCACACCAAGAGGGACAAAGAGGCTTAGAGCAGCCTGCAACCCCTGCCCATGCTGGACATACCCCAGGAACACTCCTTTCTCAAACCCAGGTGGGAGCAGACCCCAGCTGTCTTGGTCCTAGCACCTTTTCCCTGCCTTGGAGACCAACAATGTGCTCCACCTCCCACCACCACTGCTGGCATGACAGGAGCCCATCACTGTGGGGGGATGGTGGTTTTACTAGAAACTACACAGGATCACAGCATGTCAGGGGTTGGAAGGGACCTCTGAAGATCATCCAGTCCAACCCCCTCTGCCAGAGCAGGACCAAAACCAGGGCAGGTCATTCAGAAAGGCATCCAGACAGGGCTGGAAAGTCTCCAGAGAAGGAGACTCCACAGCCTCTCTGGGCAGCCTGTCCCAGGGCTCTGTCACCCTCACAGCAAAGAAGCTCTTCCTCATGTTGAGCTGGAACTTCCTGGGCTCCA